ATACAACCACCATTGTTAATTCCCTACCACTTTGTTTGTAACTCTGTATTGTCTGTATTGTGCTTGTAATATGTTGTAAAATGTTGTATGTCTGTTAATGTTTCCCTCCTTTTATCCTTAAAATAAAAAAAAATAAAAAAAGAAAAAATAAAAAAAAAAATAAGAACTCAAACATAGGTGTTGAATTAGACATGTTTCTGATGAATCTGTTTACCCTGCTGAAATGCTGTCTATCACTATTGCAATACTTGTGATATTCAGCTTTCTCATTGCATGGTTTAAAGTCTTGCTCTCTTTCAAATATTTTAACACTCTGCATCCATCTTCAAATCTTTGTGATGCTTTAGTTTCTCTTCTCATTTGCCTGTGATCTCCAGGAACCCTGACCAGACTATAATCAAATCTAGTGAGTTTTATCTTAGCCTTGTCTTACTTAACTTCTCTGCAGCCCTTGCCTTGCTTCTCCCTCTGTTGTGGAACTTTTCTCTGTCAGTGACTCTGTCTACTCTTCCTGACTTTCCCCTATCATTACGAGATGAAGCTTCTCTTCTTTTTTCACATAGCCCATTTCCATATTCCATCCTTCACCCTTTAATCTTCTCAGTTGTCACTAATAATTTCATCTTCACTAATTTTTAAAAGCCCTATTGGAATTCAACTCTTGTACTGTACCATCAAACCCTTAAAGTCTGGAAGTCAAAATAAATAAATAAAAGTGTACAAGTCAGTGATTTTCAATATATTCTCAGTCATATGGTAGCATCACCACAAGTTTTGGACATTTTTATTGCCTTGAAAAGATACGCTATACACCTTAACTCTCACTTTGTTGTCCCAAGTCCCAAACAACTCTAACAGGCTGTGTGGAGATTTGCTGAGCCACACCCTTTATTAATTCTTGTGGAGCAGTTTTGGTTGTGATGAATTCTCTTGGTGTTTGGTTATCTGGGAAGGTTTTCATTTCTGTTTTTGCGGACTGCAAAGAATTCTTGATTGAGGGTTTAATCCTTCTAGCTCTTTGAATATGACATTAATTACCTTTTGTCATCCATGTATTCTCACCAGTAATCAGCTTTAATAGGATGAATCATTTTTCTCTTGCTGCTTTCAAGTTTGTCTCTTTGTACCTGCCTTTTTAACACATTGGATATTGTGTGTCCAGGTGTGGCTGTCTGAGTCAAAGTTCATCCTTGTTGAAGTTTATTGACCTTCTTGGGGGTATACATAAAATCATTTTCATAAAATTTTGCAACTGCTTTGCCAATGACTCTTCAGATATCCATGTAGACCCTCGCTATCTCTCGTTTGTCTGGTGCTTGCATTGTACCTCTTCATAAGCTTTTGCTGTCCCACAGTTCTATTTTTTGTCCTCATTTTTATCTTTCTGTGTCTCATACTGCATGCTGTTAATGGATGTGTTGTTTAGTTGATTTGTTCTTTTTCCCGCTTGCTCTCATCTGCTATTGAGCAGACTTTGCGTGTAACAGTTTTATTTCAATTATTGTACCTTTCAACCCTGCTTTCTACTTGGCTCCCTTTTATGATTTCTGTGTCTTTTTTTTTTGGTTTTTCTCCGGTACCGGGAACCGAACTCACGACCTTGTGCTTGCCAGGCAGGCGCTTTGCCGCTGAGCTAAATCCCCAGCCCCTCTGTGTCTTTTTATAGCCTTTATTTGGTGAGTTTTGGTCTCATACTTTACCATGAGCCTTGGACATCATTTCCTCTAGGACTTTGACCATATTTTAAATAGCTGATTTAATGTCATTGTCTGGCAAAGTCCAATGTCTGTTTCCCTAGAAGTGCTTCATATTGTACCCTTTTCACCCTGACTTTCTTTCTTTCTTTTTTTTTTTTTTTTTTGTTCTGTAATTGGCTGTTGAAATCTAGAAGTTTTAAATAAAAAATGTGACAACTCTTGAAGAAATGAAGGATTTCTTCCCTCTACAGGAAGAAATGTATGTATGTTTGAATGTATTTTCCCCTACTGGGGACTGAACCCCAGGGCTTTTGCTCTATTTATTTATTTTTTTTTTATTTCGAGACAGAGGTACCCTAACTGGCTGTGTTGCCCAGGCTAGGCTCAAACTTGTAATCCTCTTGCCTTACTATCCCAGAGTATTGGGATTATAGGTATAGGCCACCATGTCCAGCATTTATTTACTGTTGTCAAGGTTTATTTGCTCAGTGACTTTTTAAAATTAATTCTGTAGAGCCTTTTTTTCCTTGTGGTTGGCAGCTGAAGTCCCTGCATAAATTTTCTGAAATGCCTGAAACCATTAAGTTTCCTGCTGCTGGTCCTAGGGCTCTGTGAGCATAGGGCATTGCTTCAGTAGTTATCCAGGTAGTTTACAACTCTACCCTTAGCCCTCATACCCTGCTTACTCCAGCCTTCAGGGTTACCCAGAGGTGACACCTATGGCCTTTTCATGTCTGTCCCCAGTGTACTCATAGCCTTGAGCTTTACTTAGCTCTACATATGTAGGTGGCCTACTACATTCTCAAGAATATATGTGAGCTTTTCAAAACCTTTATGGCTATCAAATTGCTATTCTTTTCTTTTAACTTTTTGATTTTGCTCTTGCTTTTTCCTAACTGATACCTACCATTTCAGGTAGCTGTTTGCTTAAACAATTCCTCTAAATGCTTGTGACATTGCCGCATAGGATAGAGCTTTTCACACTGGAGAGATTTGAGTTAACACAGATAATCAGTCTTGCAGGTAAGGTCTTCCAGAGAACGACCGTGCAGGGCCTGTAGACACAGAACACTGAGAGTGAGGCTTTGACAGATGTCTAACCCCACTGTGCTTCCTGCTCCTTGTATGATTGCAGATTCACTTTTCTTTCAGGCTATCAAAGCCTCTGTGGAACTGGGGAAACAGGGCAAATTAAAAATGATACAGAATCAGTTGTTCTTATGTGCAGCTATTTTTTCCTGTAACTGCTACATATTTTTAGTTTGCTTACAGAGTCCTGGAAAGTTTATTTGACAGTTTTTGCAGCTTCTCCTTGCTTTTACAGAAGAAAGCTTTCTTGCATCTCTACCATTTTTACACAGGTCATTTGTTATCTTGAATTTTAAAGTTTCTGTTGTAGAAAATATCCTTTTTCTCAGTTTCAAAACCTCTAGCCTCTTCTACTAGTTTTCAGAAAACTTCTCTGGCTTTGTGTCCAGTACATTTTCTGGTAGCCTTTTTGATATCTGTGGGTCCTTACCTGTTACAGAAAGACCCTGACTTTGGAACATTCAAGTTGTGAACTTTCACAGATGCAAAGGGACCTCGCAGCACAAACATTTGTATATGCAGATAAATTGCAGAAGTAGTTCATGTGTCTGCCAGACATTGTCACAGTTGTACTGCTGTGTGCTTACTGTACAGTGCAGTAGTGTGCATTGGTAAAGCGATTACAGCCTAAGTTGCCCGAAAACAAGAGGAAAAACATGGTGATGTGGAGGGGACTGCTAGGAAGCACAAAGCAATAACCTTGGAGACATAGTGAAAAAATGAGAGATTGGACCAAAGTGAAAAGATGGTAGACGTCTGTAAAAGTAAACATAGTTTATTTACAGTATTTGTGTGTGTGTGTGTTTGGTTTTTTATGCTTTACATTGTATATTTGTGTGAAAAAGTGTATAAAGACTCACTTTATCAGACGTGGAAATGAATCTAACTTACAAATGTTCTCCTGGAAAGGAATTCATCTGTAAGTCAGGGACTTACTGTATGTTTCTCATCCCTGTGTGATGAAGGAACTATCACATGGTCTCTGAGAACTTCAGATACTCCCTAAACTGCTAGTGACTGCTGTCTTCATCTTAGACCTTACCTCTGTGCTTGGAAATCCTGTGCATATGGGCCTTTTGACCCTTCTTTTCTACTGATCTTTACCTGGCAACATGAACCAATCTCTTACACAGCAATGTGAACTGATGTATTTCACTCAGCCTTCTAATTCATTTTATCCTTCTGTTTCACACATACTCATTTTTGGCACCTTTATATCAGTTTATGGCACCACCTAGCAGCTGTCCATTGTAAACATTACATTGTTAGGAGTTAAACTCTGCTGGACAGTGGATCAAAAGTGGATTTCTCCTGTCTTACTGAAACTGTACCCTTTGGCTTAAATCTTTTCATTCCTCTTTAGTCTCTGGTGACTGCCATTCTGTTTTCTATGGTTTGACATTTTTAGACTTCTCCTATTAGTGAGATCTTATGTGAGATATTTGTCTTTCCATCAGTTACATTTTTTAAAAAATATGACTCATGTAGCTAGATGTATAACTGCAGAAGAAAGTAGTTATCAAATGGTTATTGCTTCTCTGTTGTGATTACATCCCTCTTCTTATATGTGTTGCTGTTATTTCAATATAACTGGTATTCTTTTAAATCAGCTTCTTTAATCCTTGCTTCTCTATAAGCTATCCTCTGCTCTTCATGGGCTCTAGATTTATATACATCTTTATACATCAGTTCTGTCAGGTGTAATATCACCAGAGCTCTCACAGATCTGTGGGTTGTCTGCTATGATTTACAGTGGTGATAGCCCAGGAGAATGTGAGCTACTAGAGAAGACCCAGCGTTGTTTATCCATTGGAATGTGGGAGAAAGAGTTGTAAGAAGTCTGTCTACATTGAATTTTTGTCTTAAAAGATTCTGTGATTCATACACAAATGAATTATGGTACATTCAGCCTTTGTAAAACCAGTGATTAACACCAAGGTTTGAGACAAAATTAATTCCAAATTAGGCCTTTTATAAAACCATTTGTTTCAGAGCCTCAGGAGCAAAGTAAAAAATTAGCAGCTCTCAAATCTATTTTCTGTGTTACCTAATTATGATTGCCTGAGCACTTTTGCTGTTACAGGTGTCAGTGTCATTGGAGGATGTGACTGTGGAGCTCAGCCAGGAGGAGTGGCAACACATGGGCCCTGCTCAGAGGACCCTGTACAGAGATGTGATGCTGGAGCTCTATAGCCACCTTGTCTCTGTGGGTAAGCAGACCTGAGCACATGACTTCTCCAGAATGCACATGCTTTTAAAGAAATTATCACAACATTTGATGGCTGGGTAACATTGTTAATCAGGTTATAGAGGTTTCCATCCTCTAGGCCGTGGTCAGTGGACAGGCGCACAGAGCAGGAGGTGAGCAGCAGGAGGTAAGCAGCAGGTATATAGGGAAGCTTCATCGGTATTCACAGCTTCTCTTCCTTCCTTACGTTACTGCCTGAGCTTCACCTCCTCCAGATCAGCAGATGGGGCAGGGATTAGAGTCTCAGGAGCGGGAAGCTTGTGAACTGTGCATGGTGCTCCCATCCCCATCCGTTCCTGGGAGGAGAAATCATCTTCCATGAAACCAGTCTATGGTGTCAATAAAATTAGAGATTACTGGATTAAAATGTCTAAGGTAATTGAAACCTTTAGAGGAGCACAATGTTTGTGTTATTTCCTTCCCATTGAGAACTTCCGATGCTCTCCTGTATTTGTTGCTCTTGTTACTGTATGTTTTTCCATCTCTGGAAAAGCACAAAAGGCTGAGGTCAAGTGCATAATTTCCCCCAACAACTCTGTTTACAGGGTCATGCATTACCAAACCCGAGGCAATACTCCAGTTGGAGCAAGGAGAAGAGCCACGGTCTTTGGAGTATAAATTCCTAAATCAGAAGCATGCAGGTGAGTGAGCACTCACAGAAAGAGACTTGGGTGCCTTCAACCTTGGAATACCTTCAACCTTGGAAAGCTGTGCCAGTCAGCTTTCCGCCACTGTAACAAAATACCTCAGATTATCAATGTACAAGGAGAAAAGTTTCATTTTGGCTCACAGTTCTGGGAGTTCCGGCCTGAGACGATGTGCTTCCATACGTTGGACCTCTGACTAGTGCAGCACAGCACAGTGGGAGTGTGGCAGAACAAACTGTCACCTCACAAACTAACAAGCAGAGGGAGAGACCAGAAGGGCCAAGTACCCTCCTGTGAGGGCATACACCCTAAGGACCTAAGGATCCCTCCAAATGTTTCAGGTGGTTTCAGATGATTCAAAAAAGCAAATGTGCAGTTCACAGTTTACAGTTGGGTTCCCTCAGAGCCTCTGCCATCTCCCAGTAGTGCCACCCTGGGCACCAAGTTTTTAGCACATGACTCTAGGAAACACTGTCTATATTCAAACTATAGCAGAGGAGAACACCTTTGAAGTTTTTTTTATAACAGCTTTATTGAGATATGCTTTATATATCATACAGTTCACCCATTTGAAGCATAGAGTTCATTGACTTTTAGTGTAATCACAGCTATGTCAGACCTCAGTTGACCACAGTCAATTTTAATCACCTTTAAAACAAATATGTAACCTTAGTTTTCAGTATCCTTGCCCCTTCTTCTCTCCAGCCCTATTCCCCCAATAATCTCTTCTGTCTTTATAGATTTGCCTACTTTAGACATTTCTCATAATTGGACTCAAATAACAATATCTGGGCTTTTGTGATTGGTTTATTTTGGTTACTATAATGTTACAGCATATATCAGTAATTCATCCTTTTATAGCCAAATAATATTCCATTGTATAGATGTACCATTTTTTGTTTCTGTATTCATCATTCAGTAAGCATTTAAGGTTCCACATCTTGACCATTATGTATATATCAATATTTACAAGTTTCTGCACAGACCTGAATTTTTATTTCTCACATATATATACTTAGGATGGAATTGTGAGGTCAGATAGTGTTTATCTGTTTGAGGAACCATCAATTGGTTTCTCAACTGACTGCTCCAGTTTTCATTCCTAAAGACAGTGTGAGGGTTCTAATTTCTATTCATCCTTTTTGATTTTAGTTATGTGGATATGAAGTGGTATCTTGCTGTGATTTTCTTTTGCATTTCTTTGTTAGTCATCTTGGGCTATTATAATATCATTGGCTCTGTAGCTCAAATACTACATTTTTTTCTTTACAATTCTGGCAGCTGAAAGACCAACATGAAAGTGTCAGGAGAGTTGGTTTCTGGTGATGCCTGTCTCCCTGGCCTGGAGTCCCCTTCCTGCTTTATCCTCACATAGTCTTCCTTTGTGCAGATGCTCATGGAGAGGAGAGGATGTGTGCGCATCTGCACTTGGGCACTCTGGTGTGTCTCCCTTTCCTTGCTAGGGCATTAGCTTCAGAGTTCCACCCTGAGTACTTCATGTTCAGTTCACTACTTTCTTCAAGACTTTGTGTCCAAGTACAGTTAGTTATACTGGGGTTCAGGGTGTCCATATATGAATTTGAGGAGGGCACAGTTTCCTTTATCACTAATGATCTTGAGTGTCTTTTCATGTGTCTAGTAGTCTTTGTCTATACTGGTAAATAATTCCAGGTATTTTAAAAAGTTGTAGTTTTCAATGTAATTTCTAGAAAAAAGTAAAATCATCTTAATTATTAGAAATAAAACACTGAAAGTATTTCTTAGGAAGCAGATAAACAATGTAATATAAAGCTTTACCTAATTTTATTTAGTTCCCAATCACTAAAAATAAATAATTGAATCATATTGATTTGGTAAAGAAGATATATCTGTGTGACTAACTTATATTATGATAAAAGAAGGATAAAGTTGTTGTATCAGTGGAAATGAAATAAAGTTTCATATTCTGTTACCATTTAGATTTCAATTCAAGCAATTAAGTACATTAAATTAGAAGGAGTACCTCTAGCTCAAAAGTGCAAGTTAAAAAAATTTGAAAATTTGAAAGACAAAAAAAACACAAAAAGTGGAGTTCTAAGAATTTAATACCCATTAAATTAGGACCTTATAATATGTCTAAGAACTCCACTTGCTGAATGCGAAGACTAACACTTTCAGGTTCCCATGGAATAAGAAAATGAAAATGTGGTTATTAGTCTAATGTAAAAGTTCCAGTAAGCCTAATTCACAATAATAGTTCACAAACAATTTTCTCTGAACATAGTGTGATAAATCTAGAAATTAATAAAATTAACCTACAAAAGATTTTTCACTTAAAAATATTTAAAACTCATATCTGTTACACAATATATAAAAAAGAAAGTGCAGCTGCCATGTAATTCTACTACCCTGGAAAGCTGAGGCAGTAGTTCAAAGAGCTTTTATGTAGTTCACTTTGTGTTTATGGGTGTGCTGGTGGTGATTTACATAGACTCACTCTTTTTGCTGTTACTGTATCCAGTGGATACTTTGTTAAGTGAAGGTAGTGGTGAACAGGTACACCCTTGTCTGTTTTCTAGACTGAAGGTGAAAACATTCACTCTCAAAGAGAGCATTATGTTAGCTGTGTTTTGTTTATTCCTTTTATTAAGTTGAATAGATTTTCAAATTTTGTTAAATTATTTTCCACCAACTGAATGATCTTGCTTTAATTCTTTAGATTATTAATATAATGGGTTAAATTGAGAGACTTTTAATACTGTAGGAGTTTTGCATTCTTGCAGTAAATTCACCTTAGCCAGGATTTATTTTTATATATTGCTATGAACTATTTTTGCATTTATTTCATAGTGAATATTGGTCTGTTCCTTTTTATCCCTCATCCTACCATGATAATGCAGGCCTCATAAAATCACTTAGAAAATAGTTCCATATTTTTATTTCCTTGAAGTGGTTCTATATGACTGGTATTAGTTCTTCCCCAGATATTTTATGGAATTCACTAGTTATAACCATTGGGTCCTGGAACTATTTTTTTTCAAAAATCTATATCTGTGTATACTTTTCCCTCATATATTCAATTTTTAAAAAGGTATTAGTCTTCTCAAATTATCTTTTTCTTTTAGAGGGAATTTGGAAATTTATTTTTCTTACAAAAAATTTGTTCACTTCATGTAAATTGTCAAATTTATGGACATCAAGTTTGCCATGGACTATATATTTGGTCCCCTTACTCCAATTCATATGTTGAAACCCTAATCAGGAAGTGATGTCTTTGGAGCTCAGACCTTTGGGTCCTGAGGGTGGAGCCCCCATGAAGAGGCTAGAACACACTTGCAAGAGGCCAGAGAGCTAGCTGGCTCCTGTGCATCACTAGGCACACATAGAGTGGCCGTCTGTTACCCAGAAGTGGGCCCTCACAAGAACACAGTCATTTGGCATTCTCATCTTGGATTTCTAACTTCTAGAACTTTTAGAAATAAATACAAGAAGTGATTGAAAAATAAGGTTAATGTTTAATCTTTAAAATGTTTACAGTAAAAGACACCTTGCCAAAGTCAATTCCTTTCAAAATTTTCCTCTGCTTTAAACACAATCATCCCATCATATTTGGCAATTTTTGGAATAGTATTGGAAATCCCTTTTGTGGATGTCTGCAGTTGTGCTGTCATGGCTGCCTCAGAGGCCTGAATTAGTTCAAACCCCTTACCTTTCATGGTTGTTTGACTTTGAGTAAGTGACAGAAGTCACACTTACCAGATATTTTGAATAAAACCGATGAGGATACACCATAATGTTCTAATGGGCCTTTCCTTTGGATGGCACTCAACAGCATCGTTGGCAGTATTTTTGATCATATCTCAAGAGGGCTTCCAAAACTGCTTCAGAAAGTGTCAAAAACAATGGAATAAGTGTGGTCAAAGGGAAGGAGGTATTTTGAAAGGCACTAATGGCAGTGTGTCTTTTACTGTAACCCTGTTCTGCACATCCTTTTCTTCATCTCAAAATTTGCCTTTTTTCTACTATCTCTCCTTTATTTTTCTCTTTATTACTATCTTAGATTTCTCATGTAAGAGTAACCACATGGTATTATCTGTGTTTCTTTTACCTTCTTTGTTAGATTTAACTTAACATTATGGTTTGAAGATCCTCCTATTTTCCTACAAATGACTCAAATTTATTCTTATTTTTACTGAATGATATTCCAGTATGAGTACATCCCATTTTCTTTATACATTTTTTCTGTTCATGGCCTCTAGGCTTTCTCCATAATTTACCTGTTGTGAATTGCACTGCTACAAACATGGGTAAGCATGTCTCACTATAATATGATGACATTAACTCTTTCAGAAAGATACTTAGAAAAGGTAAGCTGAACCAAATGAAATTTGTATTTTTAGTTTTTTGGTGAATCTCCATACTGACTTCAGTAGTGTTTACTAGTTTACATTCTTAGCAACAATATAGAAAGGTTACTTTTTCCCAACACCCTTATCAGCATTTGTTTTTGGAGTCCTTGATGCTTCTCAATGTCTAGTTTCCTAAAGAGAAAACTTAAGTATCTGTCTGGGGATCTGTTATGGTTTGTGTCTAGATGTTCCCCTAAAGCCTTATGCAGTCAGAGTTTTTCCAGAGGTGTCTAAATCTAGAGTGTATGATTGATTCACAGTGCAATGCTAGGATTCTTGGTGCTAGGATTAAGGGTGGGTGATTGTTGGATCGGTCCATGATTGGATTAGCACTGCCCTAATCCCAGTATATAATAAAAGGAACAGGAAGAGGCTTATCTCACTCTCTCATTGCCTTTGCTGTCTTCTGCTGCATGAACTGTTGCCTCTCTGCCATGAGTCACCCTGCCTTTGAGCCAGCCAATTATGGACTAGAACTTCTATGAACTATGAGCTAAATAAATCATTCCTTCTTTTAACTTTGGGCAGTGGGTATTTTGTCTCAGCAAGGAGAGAAAAGCAACTGAGACAGGATCTTTCTTCTCTAATATACACATTTTGAAATTACCAATTTACCTTCAAGTATGTGTACTGTTTTAGCCGCAACCAACAAAATTCTTTTGTGTTTTTGTTTTTATTCACTCCAAAAATTTTCTATGAAACTTCCTCTTTTTCTCTAGGAGGAAATTAGAAATTTATAATTTACAATTCTGTATTTCTTTATGTAACTTTTCTTACTGATTTTTAAGTATAATTTTTGAGTATCATCTTTTGTGTTTGTCTTCTTTTAGGTTTGTGAAGATTTGTCTTCCATCCAGGGATGATGTCTGTCTTGAATGTTTCATGTTTTATATATTATATCCTCAGGTTTTGGAGGTGTAGTTATCAGAAGGGCTACAACCTCATTCCTACTTGTAGTACTGGGTCTACCATGTTGCTTCTTTGGTTTTTGTTGTTTCCTTCCTCTAGCTTTTGTGAGTGGCCACCAGTGCCTTAAAACATGTTTATTTTTCTTCCTCTTGGAGATTAAGACATTTGTTCCATATATTCAATAAGAATGTGTTCTGGGTGGGATTTTGACAATGGCTTGCATATCCCAGAATGAAACTTTCTTAAAATAATTCTTCATTATTTTTCCTGTAAGCTCCCCATTTATCTTGTAGAGTGAAAAATTATGAGAATGTGCAAATGTTCTTAGCTCCCTGCTTAGCCTCTGTGGAACCACAGGAGAAGTATTTCATCATTGGCCTGACAGTGTTAGGTTTGTCAGAAAAGTTTTCGGATCTGTTAGGCTACTTTTTCTTGGCTAGAAGGAACAGGCTTTCCTTATAGGGGCCTTTTACCAGTTTCAGAGTATTGGTTTCTTTAGCACAGAATATAGGACATATGGAAAGTAGAAAAACAAGCTTTAAAATTCTCCATTGTGCCATTTCTTAAGTCCTGAGGTCCACTCTTTCCATTTTATAAGAATGTTTATATATTTGTAAATCTGCTTTGTCTGTGAATTTTGAATCTTAACAAGGAAGACCTGGGAGGAATGGTTCTATTCTGTTCTCGTTGGCACTGAAAATAATATCTTGCTTTTAGAAACCATATGGATGAAAAGAGGGCAAGGGAATATCTGGTGGTGTGCGTGAATTTAAGCTTTGGAAATATGACCTGAAATAATAGAGTAAAATAATAACAACATGTAGCTATAAGTTCTTTTCCATAAGAAGTGTAAGCTTTATAAGATATTTTCAATTTTTCTCATTTTAGGATACTACAAAGTTGAAGTCCACATACAGGGAAATCAGGAAAGACAAGAGATGTCTTCAACACTGACTAAAGGACAGAAAGTTTTAGGAAAACCATTTAATCTGGGCATAGCTTCAGATTTTTCAGGAAAAATACTCTGTAAATGTGACTCATGTGGCATGAACCTTCCAGTTATTTCTGAGTTCATTATTACTGAAGGAAACTGTTCAAGAAAGGAGGCTGATTCCATGAATGTGTGTGGAAAATTGCAGCTTGATATTAAACTTGAGGAAACTCACACTGAAGAGAAATCTTATGAGTATAATAAAAATGAGAAAGCTCTCGGTTATAAAAAAGATCTTCATCAAAAGTTTCAAACCTTAGAGCAGTCTTTTAAACACAGTGTGTTTGAAAAAAATGTATGTGATAAGACTGTCTATATTAAAGTTCAGAGTTCTTCAATAGGAAATAAGTCCTGTGAGGATGATGAATTTAGGAAAACTTGTGATAAAATAGCTCTATTTGAACATAGGGAATCTGATCTAATGGAGAAATATTCTGATCTTAATGAATATGGGGGATCCTGCAACAAAACCACTATCATGAAATACAATAAATTTCACGTGCCTGTGATAACACAGAGTGAATATAATGAAGATGGTATTAATTTCAGTGCAAAGTCACCCTTCATTCTATCTCAGAGACTTGTTACAAGACAGAAGGCTGTAGACAGTAGTAAATGTGAAGAGAACATGGGTCACAGCCCATCCCATAAAGTATATCCTGAAAAACAAAGTGACAGTAATATCTTTGAATATAATGGATGCATAGATACCTTATACCAGAAATTAGATCTTACAGTACATGACAAAACACCAGAAAAACATGCCCAATGTGATCTGTATGGAAAATGTGAGAAATCTTTTTCTCAGAAAGCATATATCATTTGGCATCAGAGGACGCACTCGAGAGAGAACACTTATAAATATGAGAAATCTGGGATATTATTACACTCACAGTCATACTCTGTTCAGCATACTGGAGACCAGATGGAGTTCAAACTCTGTGAATGCAATACATGTGGGGAACCTTTCTGTCAGAAGTCAAACAACCTTGAGCATCTGAAAATTGGCTGTGGAGAATCTTGCACCTTTCCTGTCATGGGACAGCAGAGAACAGACACAGAGATGAGACTTTTTCAAGACAGTGATTATGGAGAAACCTCTATGATGGGATACGTCAAAGAACGTCAGAGAGTTCCTAGAGGAGAGAAACCCTGTGAACGCTTTGACTGCGGGAAAACTGTTGCCAAGCCATCTCATCTCAGAGCACATCAGAGCACTCACACAGGTGAAAAGCCCTATGGATGTTTTGAATGTGGCAAAACGTTTTCTCACAAGACACATCTCAGTGCACATCAGAGAATTCATACAGGAGAAAAACCTCACGATTGTAATGAATGTGGAAAAGCATTTGCTGATAATTTAATGCTTAGAGCTCATCAGAGAATCCATACGGGAGAGAAACCCTATGAATGTAATGAATGTGGGAGATCTTTTGCCCATATTTCTGTTCTCAAAGCACATCAAAGAATTCACACAGGAGAAAAGCCCTATGAGTGTAATGAATGTGGGAGATGTTTTACCTATAATTCAGCTTTCAGAGCACATCAGAGGGTTCACACAGGGGAGAAACCCTATGAATGTAATGACTGTGAGAAAACATTTGCCCATAATTCAGCGCTCAGAGTACATCAAAGAGTTCACACAGGAGAGAAGCCATATGAATGTAATGACTGTGAGAAAACTTTTGCCCACAATTCAGCTCTCAGGGCACATCAGAAAATTCACACAGGGGAGAAACTTTACGAATGTCATGAATGTGGGAAAACTTTTTCCCAGAAAACACACCTTGTTACCCATCAGAGAATTCATACTGGGGAGAAACCCTATGAATGTAATGAATGTGGAAAAACTTTCTCTCAGAAATCATACCTCAGTGGTCATGAAAGAACTCACACAGGGGAAAAGCCCTATGAATGTAACATATGCAGGAAAACTTTTGTCTATAAGGCAGCTCTCATAGTGCATCAAAGAATTCACACAGGGGAGAAGCCCTATGAATGTAATGAATGTGGGAAAACTTTTTCCCAAAGAACACACCTCTGTGCACATCAGAGAATTCATACAGGGGAAAAACCCTATGAATGTAATGAATGTGGGAAAACTTTTGCTGATAACTCGGCCCTCAGGGCACATCACAGAGTTCATACAGGGGAGAAACCCTATGAATGTAATGAATGTGGGAAAACTTTCTCCAAGACATCCCACCTTAGAGCCCATCTGAGGACCCGCACAGGGGAGAAACCCTATGAGTGTAATGAATGTGGGAAAACATTCTCTGAGAGGTCATATGTTAGTGCACATCAAAGAGTTCATACAGGGGAAAAGCCTTACGAATGTAATACATGTGGGAAACAATTTGCTTATAATTCAACTCTCAGAGTACATCAGAGGATTCACACAGGTATTAAATCCTATGGTTGTAATGCGTGTGGGAAAACCTTCTCCCAGAAATCACATCTTCATGCACACCAGAGAACTCACACTGGAGAGAAACCCTATGAGTGTAATGAGTGTGGTAAAGCCTTTGCCCAAAATTCAACTCTCAGAGTGCATCAGAGAATTCATACAGGGGAGAAACCCTATGAATGTGATAACTGTGGGAAAACTTTTGTTCGAAAAGCAGCTCTTAGAGTACATGAAATAAGAATGCATACCAGAAAGAAAACCCTAATGTTTAATAAATTTGAGAAATTGTGAAGGAACTCATACTTTATATAACAGCAGAAAAATCATATCACATGCACTGTCTTGACAAAATTTCTCTTGTTCACATGAGACTGGCCATGGAATGTGCTATTAATGACACATTAAGATGAGCTCTTAAATTACATTACATTCTTTTCTTGTGCATTTTAAGATTGAAGGTGGTTGCACAGTCAATTTGACCAGTGTGTTGTGAACATAGTAGAGCACAAAGTGAAAGAAATGAGTGAATAAATGGAAGAGAATTCTCCACTTTCATTTATCACTTTATTTTTATGCAAGAACGTTTGTATTTACTGAACTCTGTTTTAAAGAGAAAAAAATTAAAAATAATAAAAGTTAAAACAGCTTAGGAGAGTTACAATAAATAATATATTGTACATTATTGTCTTTGTAGTAGTTGTTCAGAGCATAAGCTATAGGCATAATATCTTGTTCAAAAAATACTAGCACAAATCTTTTAATGAACTAAGAGAAACTAGCTGTATAACTATCTTTACTAACTCTTGCATGAATATATTTTTTTCTTTTTTCATTTCTTCCTTTACCGTTTCCCCCATCAGTTTATCTTTTCTTTTGAATTGTTTCTTCCCAATTCACAATATTTATTGTACATTTTGGATCTTATTTACTCTCTCAGTTTCTCACACTAGTGAGACAATACAATGTTTACACATATAGGTCTGATGTATTTCACTTCTGAGTATATTCTCAAGTTGTATCCATTTACCTATAAAAGTCTCCAGTCTCCAGTTTATCCTTTGTATCTGAGAAGTACTCTATTACATTAAAAAAATCCACATTATTTTTTATTCATTCCTCAGTTGATGGGTATTTGGGTTATTTCTTAGATTTAGCTATTACAAATTGTGCTGCTATAAACATGGGTGCACATATATTGCTGTGGTATGATGTTTTTTATTCTTCAGTGAAGATAGAAGAGGAATACTTTGGTCAAATGGGATCTCTAATCCTAGTTTTTAAAGGAATCTCCACACTGATTTCCATAGTGATTTCACCAGCTTACACTCCCACCAACAGTCGAGGAGTATTCTTTTTTCCCCACAGTCTTGCTGGCTGTGTTATTGGTTGATTGCTTGATGATAACCCTGGAAAGAATGGTTATCATCAAGAAATCAACCAATAACAAATGCCAGCAGGACTGTGGGGAAAAAAGAATACTCCTTGACTGTTGGTGTCTCTAGATCTGTGAGGTATAATAATAGTATTTTGATTGAGATTGCATTAAATCTGTATAGCAGTTGTGGGAGTATGGCCATTTTCGCTATGTTGGTTCTTCCTATCCAAGAGCAAGAGATATCGTTCCATTTTGTGATAGCCTCTTCGATCTCCCTTTTTAAGTGTAAGTTTCACTATAGAGAACTTTTACATGCTTTGTTAGATTGATTCTTAAGTATTTTTAGATGCTGTTGTGAAGGGTGTGCTTTCCCTAATTTCTCTGTGAGTTTGTTGCTTGTGTACAGGAATAAAACTGACTTTGTAGTGTTGAATTTGTATCCTACTACACTACCAAATTTGGATATTAAATTTACAAGTCTTTTGGTGGAGTTTTAGGGGTCTTCTATCTGGAGTATCATGTCATCTGCAAGTAATGATAATTTAACTTCTTCCTTTCTTATCTTTATTCCTTTTATTTTTTTCTCTTGCCTAATGGCTGTCTGGCTAATGTTTTCAGAAGTATATTGAATGGGAGTGGTGATAATGGACATCCCTGTCTCCTTCCTGATTTTAGAGTGAAAGTTTTCAGTTTTTGACCATTTAATATGGTGTTAGGTGTTGGTTTGTCAAAGATAGTTTTTATCATATTAAGGTAGAGATCATCTATTCCAGTTTTCTATAGTTTTTTGTTTTTTTTGGTACCAGGAATCGAAATCAGGACCTTGCATTTGCCAGGCAGGTGGTGTGCCACTAAGCAATATCCCTGGCCCTTGTAGTATTTTTATAAATCATGAATGGGTGTTGGACTTTTGTCAACTACTTTTTCTGCATGTATTGAGATGATCGTGTGAGTTTTGGTTCTGTTAGTATTGTGTATTACATTTCTTGACTCATGTATGTTGAACCATCCCTGTATCCCTGGGATGAATCCTAGTTGGTGATAATGTATAATCTTTTTGATTTGCTGCATTCTGTTTGCCAGTATCTTATTAAGGATTTTTGCATGTATGTTCATTAGGGTGATTTGCCTGTAATTTTCTTTTTTGGTTGCCTTTTTCTCTGGTTTTAGAATCAGGGTAATACTTGCTTCCAGGAATGATTTTGGAAGTACTGCATCCATTTCAATTTATTTAATGAGTTTCAGCATTAGTGTCATTAGTTCTTCTCTAAATTTCTTAAGCTGGGTGCGGTGGCATATGCCTGTTATCCTAGCACTTAGGAGGCTGAGGCAGGAGGATCATTGTGAATTTGAGACCAGCCTGGGCTACAAAGTGAGCTCAAGGCCAGCCTAAATTGCATAGCAAGACCCTGTCTCAAAATGACCAAAAAAATAAATTTCTTATAGAATTCAGCAGTCAGTTGAACAGGCAGTTGTCAGTGGCTAGGTTTTTCTTTGTTGGTAATTTTTTAATTACATTTTCAATTTCATTGACTGAGATTATTTAGAATTTTTGTATTATCATTTAGTTTTGGCAATTTGATTGTGTTTAGGAATCTGTGTATTTCTTCTGCATTTACCATCTTATTAGAATACAGATTCTCATAGTTAGGTATTGATGAGCTGGATTTCTGTAGGATCCATTGTGACTTTCCTCTTTTCATTCCTGTCTTTTTTTTTTTTTTTTGGGTACCAGGAGTTGAACTCATGACCTTGTGTGTGCCAGGGAGGTGCTGTGCTGCTGAGCTACATCTCCAGCCCCCATCTTTTCATTCCTAATTGCTTGAATTTGTGTTTTTTTAAAATTTCCTCCTTTTGATGAGGTTGGTTAATGGTTTATCAATTTTATTCTGTCAAAGAACCAACTTTTCAATTCATTGATTCCTTGAATTGTTTTCTTAGTCTCTATTGCATTGATTTCTTTATAATTTCTTCCCCCATATGAGCTTTGTGTTGGATTTGTTCTTCTTTTTCTAGAAGTTTCAGGTTTAACATTAGGTTGTTTATTTGAGCTTGTTCTGTTTTCCTGATGTGTGAGTTCATCGTTATAAATTTCCCTCATAGGAATGCTTTCATTGCATCTGGTAAGTTTCAGTATGTTGTATTGGCATTATCATTTAATTGTATATAACTGTTTAATTTTGACTTTAATTTCCTCTGTGACCCACTGGTTGTTTAGAAGGGTGTTGTTTAATTTCCATATGTTAATGTAGTTTTTGTGATTTCCTTTGTCATTGATTTCAAATTTCATTGTGCTATGGTCAGATAGTATGCATGGGATGATTTCAATTCCTCTACATTTACTTAAACATGTTTTGTCGGCTAATATATGATCTATTTTGGAGAATATTCCATCTGCAGCTGAAAAGAATGTATTCAGATGTTTTGAGGGTGGAACTCTGTAGACATCTACCAAGTCCATTTGTTCACGGAGTTGGTTTAATTCTAATATTTTTTTTTGTCTAGTTGATCTATCTGTTTATGAGATTGGGGTATTAAGAGCCCCACAATAATTGTCTTAGTGCTTATTTGGTTTTTCATGTCTGTTAATATTTGCTTTATGTAGCTAGTTGAACCTGTGTTTGGTGCATAAATATTTATGATTGTTATCTCTTTTTTTGGAGTTTTTCTTTAACAAGTATGTAGTAATATTCCTTGTCTCTTTTGATCAGTTTTTGCTTAAAGTTTGCATTGTCTGCAAATAGAATAGCTACCCATGCTCTTTTGTGGGTTCCTGTGGCATGGACAATTATTTTCCATCCTTTGACTTTTACTCTGTGAATTTCATTTTGGGTTAAGTGTGTTTCTTGAATGTAGCGTGTTATTGGATTTTGTTTCTTGATACAGTCTGCCAATCTGTTTCTTCTGTTTGGTGAGTTGAGACCATTTACATTGATGGTTATAACTGACATGTATTGGATTTTCTTTTTCGTATTGTTTTCCTCTTTCTCCTTGTTTAATTGTTTGCCCTACCTGGTACCTTCTTTCTATTGGTGTTCATGTGTTTTTGATCTTATTTTTCTTGTTCTAATATGTCCTTCTGAGCATTCTGTAGAGCTGGTTTGTTGTCATAAATTTCTTCAGTTCTTTGCCATGGAAATATCTTATTTATCCAGCAATTTTGGAAGATAGTTTTGAGGGGTACGTCAATCTGGGTTGAAGATTGTTTTCCTTTAGGGCTTGAAATACCTCACTCCAAGATCTTAATTTGAGGGTTTGTTTTGAGAAGTCTGCTGTGATTCTGTTAGGCCTTCATTTATAGCTGATATGTTTATTTTCTCTAGCTACTTTTAATATTTTGTTCTTGTGCTGACTTTCTGAAATCTTGATTATTACATACTTTCATGTAGATTTATTTTGGTTATGGCTATTTGGAGTTCTATATGTTTCACTTATTTGTATGTCAAATTCTTTATCCATTTTTGGTTAGTTTTCTGCCATTATTTTTGTGAGGAGGTTTCTAATGACTTTTGTGCTATCTCTAGCTTTCTCACTAATTCCAGTCAATGTTATGTTGTTCTTTTTTGCTTTATCCTATAGCTATTGGATTGATTTTTCATGGTCTGTTGTGATTTTTAAGATATCTTTCTTTTTCTGGTTGCTAGTCACATTCTTTTTTCTAGATCTGATATTCTATCCTTGTCTTTATTCAATCTGCAGCATATACTTTCAGTAGTGTTTCTAATCTCCTGCGTTCCTGTTTGGAACTGTTTCATTGATTCCATTTCATGTCTATGTTTGGCATTCATGCTTTCCATTGTTTTCCTGAGCTCCTCTATTTGTTTATCTGTGTCTGCTTTAATGTCATTTCTTGATAGTCATTTCTTTTTGTACCTTTGAGATTATTTTTTGTATAGCCTCTTCCATTTGTTTTTTCTCTTCTGCTGCTATCATTTGAGAGAGTTCCATTTCTTGGCTTCTAGTTTCCCCTATCTCCTTGTGCTCTGGACTTGTCCTGGGTTGGCTAGGCAATTGGGATTGCATTTTGCTTCTTTATCTTGACATTTTCTATTTTATTTTGTGTTTTGTGTTGATATATGTAGATTTCTTATGTTAAATAGCCTTATCCCTGGTATTGAGGCTTTCCTAGGAGGTGTCTATTGCTCTGAGTGTCTTCTAGATGTAGGTGGTTCTTGGCCTTTATATCTATCCCAAGAACCTACCTCCTTCCCGATATATTAAGACTGAGGAGTTCCTATCTATTTGACATAGTGCCCATTCCTTTAGTACTGG